CCCCCCCCCCCCCCCCCCCCCCCCCCACTGCCCACTCCCGGCTTCATCACGAACCCCCCTCTGACTTCTCCTCGTACAGGACGAGTGCTCCGCAAAGTACGGGTCGAGAATCTACGATGCCTTCCTGGAGTGCTTCTCCGCCCTGCCCGTGTGCGCAATCTTGTCCCAGAAGGGTCAGCTGGAGAGGTGAATGGCTAACCCTCGAACGAACAGCACCGTTGAGCGAGTACATGGATACCGTAAGGTTGCGAGTCAGCGCAGGGGTGCGAGCGACTTTCAAAGCGTAATTTCTCCACATCGAGGAGGTTACCACTATCGAAAAGGGCGGTTTTGGAAGTATCTCATCGAGAGCTTTCTTGAGAAGTATCAGTTGGCGCTCTTCGTGAGAAGTATCAGCTGGCTCTCGCACCGTTCTGGTTGTGGAGAAATTACGCTTTGAAAATCGATCGCACCCCTGTGCGCTGACTCGCAACCTTACGGTAGTCATACATGAATCATCGTAGAGTCCAGCGCTGTCAGGCTGGTGTTGTTGTAGGACCATTATGGATATCCAGGAAGGAGAGTAAGAAGAGGAAGGGGCCCCGTGTGGATATATATCTGTGTTCCTGTGTAGCGAACGTCTGCGATGAAAGCACAGCCCGAGTCTCGAGGATGGGAAATGTTTGTTGTGATGGGTTTAGAGGGCGGCAACAACGGTAGTGTAGCAAATCTTTTCGTGATGCCGAGCTCTGTGCTGTTTGTTTTTTGGGGTGAGAGGCAGGCATAGACATTTACCGTTCGACGTTCAAACAATTTTGTGCGCTCGGTCAGTTGTGGTTAAGTCTTGCCGCCCCGACCGCGAGTTATTGCACGGCAAAGTGACACTTCTCTCTCCGTGTTCTTCATGAGTCTCACATACCCCCCCCCCCCCTCCCGCCCCCCATCCCGGCTTTGTAGGGATGCGAGGCCAATGGCCTAACGACTATACGGCATGCACGGCTATGAGTACATTGCCCAGTCCAGTTTGTCTCGTTGAAATACATCTAACACTGAAACGCGGCCGTTAACACTGAAACGCGGCCGGCTTGTTACGCCCACAAATAAACAGTCTGTTCTGCGTTCATGGAGGCATCTCCCCCCGGCTGAAGACGGTGAACGACATCCGACGGCTCGAGCGACGAGTGGAGCCGGAGGAGGGGACTCTGTTGGCGGACTTGCTGTGGTCGGACCCTAGCGACGACCCCTCGGTGAGTTAGTCAGTCCTTTTTATGGATACGCTGGCGGTTTGCTTGTTTTGCTCGTTTGAAGTTGATTAGTTTTGCCTTGCCTTGTTGGTCGTGTTGTTGCTGGTTTGCTTGTCTGTTGTTGTCTCTCTCTGTCTCTCTCTCTGTCTCGTCGTCTTTCTCCCTCTTTCTCTTACTGTCAATATCTCGTTGTTTTATTGCGTCTGTTTCTTCAGCTGACCGTGTCGGTTTGGGCAAGGGTGGCCCCGTCGACCTTTCATCCGTGGCGCTCTCCTCGTTGATCCAATGGCGTGGATGGGCTACCCTCCCTCTATCCGTATTGCTATATACTTCATCAGCCAGCATTTTTCGGCGTAGATTTTTCTGGGTGCAAGTTGATATACCTCACCGGCCTTCTCCCAACAGCATGCCTGCCTCATGGACAGACGAGGGCCAGGGTTAAGTTAAAGATTTATCACCACGGGAGAGTGTCCAGGAGTTTAGCCTATGAATGCGCATACAGCAGAATTCGTCAGGCGGGACTGTCATGACTGCGGTTTTTAGTCTTTCATGCCTGAAGGAAGCTTGGGTAAGTGCGCAGGCAGGCAGGCAGGCACAGCGCCGAAAGCAACAAAGGCGATTGATTGGCTGTGTTGTACCACCGTCGTAGACATCATCAGAAAAAATAGACAGACGCGCGGAATGGCGCTCTGTACGGCCCCACGGAGCTAGCTGAGCACGTCAGTGATGCAATCGCGCGGGTGTGCCCTCCGCAGGTTGTCCGACGAGCGGCGCTTGGTGACTGCACCAACGACGTCAACTTGCCAGCAGGCCCAGCAGCAGCTGACTGCACCAACGACGTCGACTTGCCAGCAGACCCAGCAGCAGCAGCAGTAGCTGCTGCTGCAGCTCCTGCGGCAGGGGAGGGGAGGGCTGTTGGGGGTGGTACCGCCAACGGCGCGTCAAAGAGGGAGGACGTCGGCTTCATGCCGAACGTCGTTCGGGGGTGCTCTTGGAGCTACGAGTGGAAAGCCGTGGAGGTGTTTTTGAAGGAGAACCTCTTCCGGGGCATCCTTAGGGCTCACTCGGTTCAGGTGGGTTGGTTAGGGGGCTCCGTGAATGTATTTTGACCTTGGCTTTTACCGCACCCAAAGGCTCGCCCGGTTCAGGTGTGTGGGGTGGGTTGACGGGGCTCCGTGAACGTGTTTTGGCCTAAGCTTTTACGAAGAATTGCACGTGGTGCGTCCACGCGGTGTATATACCCGTATTAGATGCTGTTTGACAATGCAGAAAGGCACTCAACAAATACCGACCGTTCGTGGACACCTGGTTTTCGCTTATGGTCGCCCCCCACCCCCAACAACCAAGACACAACAAATAGTCGGGACATTCACACACCAGAAACAAATGAAACTGTAGCGGGAGAAAATCATCAGTCGGGGCTCAAATTGCCAGCCCGACCCGCTGGTTGCAGGGGAAATATATGTGCATGAAGGCATCAACCAGATGGAAGGAAACTATTATTTTTTGGAGGGAACCCTGAGTAACGTGGTCGGCGTGGACGCTCAATCGCGCAGTCTCGTCGGCACTGTCGGCTGTTGGCGAGTAGCAACCTCGTCGCCTGGCGTCCCTCGATGAGAAACGCTTGAAGCAGCCTTCGCAGGGTTTTATGCAATCGGGGAAGTTGGGTTAGGGTTGGGGACAGGCTCTGCGTCTCCCGTCCCTGTTCTTTTTCCTCATAAGCTTAATTTTCGCGCGGAGGCGGTCCAACGGTTGCCGTGGGTTACTGGAGATGTCACAGTCCTCGACCCGATTTTCATATCTAGGGTACCCCACCGCGAACAGGATGCCAACATCACTCGCTACGATTTTGCGTTTTCGGAAAGCGCTCTTGATGGGACGGTTCCAACGCTGCATTTTTCAGCACCGCCTCTGTTTCTTGCTGCAGAGTATGCACGCCATTGTTGCGGTCGTCATTGGTCGTCGTGGGTGTTGTTGGCAATTCTCATTGTTTTCTCTAGAAAATCGTCTCTCTGTGTCCCCCTCTGTCTCTTGTCTCTCGTCTCTCGTCTCTTGTTTCTTGTCTCTTGTCTCTTGGCTGTTGTCTCTTGTCTCTTGGCTGTTGTCTCTTGTCTCTTGGCTGTTGTCTCTTGTCTCTTGTCTCTTGTCTCTTGTCTCTTGTCTCTTGTCTCTTGTCTCTTGGCTGTTGTCTCTTGTCTCTTGGCTGTTGTCTCTTGTCTCTTGTCCCGTGTCGCTTGCCTCATGCCTCATGTCGCTTGCCTCATGCCTCATGTCTCATGCCTCATGCCTCATGTCTCTTGTGAATTGACTTTTGCCTCTCTCTCTTCTCTCTCTCTCTCTCTCTCTCTCCCCCTCTCTCCCTCCCTCCCTCCCTCTCTCTCTATGTCTCTGTCTCTCCCGCTCTCTCTCTCTCTTTCCCACCGTCAGGGGGAGGGCTTCCACCACCATTTCCAAGGGCAGTGTCCGGAGTCGAACATCGGCGAGGGTGTCTCGACCGTCTTTTCCGCCCCTGGGTACACGACTCACAGCAATCGAGGAGGCGTGCTGGTGGTGAAGGGGGACGGGGGGGTCGATCCCCAAGGGTACGACGCGACGCCCGAGCCGGTGGTGGTAAACAGGTGAGGGTGTTTGATTGTTCGGTCGTGGTTCATTGTTCTGTCGTGGTCGAAGCCGCCGTTGGTGGTGTCGCTGCATGAGTGACACCAACAACATGGCTTCAGTACGACCCTCTTGTTCTTCAATGGTTGGTTTTCGGCTCTCGTAGCAGCAGCAGTAGTTGTTGTGGTCTTGATGATGCAAACGAAAGCCTGACCACCAACCCTCGCCCCCCCCGACCCCCCCCCCCCCCCCCCCC